TTTTTTTTTTTTTTTTTTTTTGTTTTTCAGCCATTCAAGTTGATTACGACTTGTACTTCAGCGATCCAGTGCGTAGCAGCGCAGCCCAAGTGATTCCGTTCTTCACTGGGGCAACAAAGAGCCTAACGGTGGCCATGTGGGTGCAGTATATTCAGAAAGACGAGGTTGGAATATTCTTCACCCTTTATGCAGTGAGGTAAATACTCCCTACATCTAAATCTAGTATCAGCTATTATTTTCTATCCCCGTTTTTTGATAATCGCAATTCAATGTTTCCCTTTATACTATTTAAATAAATAATAAATTTACGGGAATTAATCTGAAATAATTTATTAATTGAAAATGTTGAAATTTATATAAATTCTTCCACGTTGGATAAGATCTAAATGATGATAAACAATAAACAATGATAATAAATGGTAATAAACAATAAATGATAATAAATGATAATAAACAATAAATTATTAAAAATAAAAATAAAAATGAAAATAAATATTAAAAATTATTAAAAATAAAATAAAAATAAAAATAAAAATAAATATTAAAAATTATTGAAAATAAAATAAAAATATTAAAAATAAAAATAAATATTTAAATCAAAAAATCAAATATTAATTATCAATACTATAATTTCTCTAATTAAATTTCATGAAATAGGTGAACCTACATTACATAAACATAATTATATCATAAATTATATCATAAGCATAAATCATATTAATATTAACGAAGGTATAAAAATTAATTATTCCTTTACTAATATAAATTAATCGACTGTTGGTTTGAATATAAATTAAATTAATCGGATAAAATAAGAAATCCAGAAGACTAATTATTATATAACATCTTAATTGATGGAAAATTGATGGATAATTCAATAATCTGTCATCAGCTCTCCGCACGTTCCAACAAACAAAAGACTTATGATCCAAGCACACAGCAATGGAGTCCAAGTGTCGCTGTTCCACGATTTGCAAGACGTTTACCTGCCGTTCAGGGAATACGCGACGATTAATGATGGCCAGTGGCATCACGTTGCCGTGGTTTGGAACGGTGAAAATGGCGGCGAGTTGGTCTTGATAACGGAAGGTCTAATCGCCAGCAAGACGGAAGGTTACGGAAGTGGAAGATCTCTTCCCGCATAGTAAGTTGCTACGCACAAGTTGCAATTAGCCTTTGTTGTCAGTTCCGTCTGATGAGACGGAGTGCCATTCATTTCAGAGAATTCTCTATTAAACGCTCCGTTAAATACTAAATAACATCGTTGAATCACACGTTTCAGCGCTTGGGCGGTGCTGGGCAAGCCACAGAGCGAGAACACGAAAGGCTACACGGAGTCAGGCTTCCAAGGACACCTGACAAAAGTCCAGATCTGGAGTCGGGCGCTGCACGTGACGAACGAGATTCAGAAGCAAGTGCGCGACTGTCGCACCGAGCCGGTTCTTTACCAAGGTTTGGTCCTGACTTGGGCAGGCTACGACGACACGGTCGGAGGAGTGGAGAGGGTCGTGCCGTCGCACTGTGGCCAAAGGGTCTGCCCACCGGGATACGGCGGCACCAAGTGTCAACAGCTGGAGTCCGACAAGATTCCACCGAGAGTTGAATACTGTCCAGGCGATCTCTGGGTGATCGCGAAGAACGGCTCGGCGATAGTCAGCTGGGACGAGCCGAAATTCATCGACAACGTCGGGATCGCGAGGATCCAGGAGAAGAACGGGCACAGATCGGGGCAGACGTTGATGTGGGGGACGTACGATATCAGCTACGTGGCATACGATCAAGCCGGGAACTCTGCCAGCTGCAACTTCAAGGTCTACGTGTTGTGTAAGCGATGTGTATACACGTTTCTAATTTTGAAGCTGAACCGAGCGGCAGCTGCCGGAAATCGGCAAATTGTCCGCGTGAAATTTGCGAAGACAAGTCAAAGACTTTTGCTTCTTTTTTAGCCGACTTCTGCCCGGAGTTGGCCGATCCAATCGGTGGGACGCAACAGTGCAAAGACTGGGGCTCCGGCGGTCAGTTCAAAGTCTGCGAGATCTTCTGCAATCCGGGACTTAGATTCTCACAGGAAGTACCGAAATTCTACACATGCGGCGCCGAAGGTTTCTGGAGGCCAACCAACGATCCGTCCCTCCCTCTGATCTA